CCAGAACCTCTAAGAGGTTCTCATTTCAGTCACTGAAAAAACCAAAGCCCTTCTGTGGCCTACAGCACCTATAGTACACAGCCCCCTCGATTTCTTCTCCTTTTGCTTCTCCCTTGCTCTGTTAGTGACCTCTGTGCTGTGCCCTAAGCATGCCAAGCATGCATCAGTACTTTTCAATATTGTGGCTATCCCTGTCTCTCAGTTGCTGTTCCCTCTGCACGTATCTCTGCCAGGCTGCCTTTCTCACCTTCTAGAGGCCTGTACTTAAGTCACCTCATCAGGGAGACTCCCTGAGCACCCCATCCACATGCCAACCCCCTACCCCACTTCCTGCTCCTTTTTTTCTACAGAGCACTAATCAACATCTAATACAGTTACAATACAATAATACTAATACAATAATAATTCTACTTATTTATTTATTGTCCATCTTCTCAGAATGTAAACTGTATGAAGAGAAGGGTTTTTTTAATTATGGTAAAGTTATACATAACATAAAATTTGCAATATTTAAGTATACAATTCTATGCCATTAAGCACATTCACACTGTTGTGCAACCATCAGCACCATCCATCTCCAGCACTTTCTCATCTTTCCAAACTGAACTCTGTACCCATTAAACGACAACTGCCATCCCGGGGCCTCTGGCTGGCTCGGCCGGTAGAGCATGCAACTCTTGATCCCAGGGTTGTAAGTTCAAGCCCCACGTTGGGTAGAGAGATTACTTAAAAATAAAATCTTTAAAAAAACAAAAAAATGGTAACAACTGCTCATCCCCTCTCCCCATTTCCTAGCAACTGCTATTCTACGTCCTGTCCCTATCTTATACCTCATATAAGTGGCATCCATTGGGGAGCCTGGGTAGCTGAGTTGTTAAGCATGTGCCTTGGGCTCAGGTCATGATCCCAGGGTCCTAGGATCGAGCCCCACATCGGGCTCCCTGCTCGACAGGAAGCCTGCTTCTCCTTCTCCCACTCCCCCTGCTTGTGTTCCATCTCTTCCTGTGTCTTTGTCAAATAAATAAAATCTTAAAAAAATAAATAAGTGGCATCCATTTTGTAGCATATGTCAGAACTTCCTTTGTTATATTATTCAGCCTTAAAAACAAAGGAAATTCTGACCCTGCTACAAAATGGATGAGCCTTTGTTCCTGAGGTGTGTGTTTCCTCCTTTTAGAAGTAGAGTCCAGAGAGCCTTTGCTTCCAGCAGAGACCATTTTCATCATAAGTAAAAATCTGATGTGGGGTCTGCCTTCTTCATTAATTCGTTGTCTTCATGTAGATGTAAATTTCTTTGTACCTCCTTCATTTGTGCTTAACTGCTTCGCCAGATGGCTTCATGTAAGTAATAGGAAGGCACTCCAGTTGAAGTGTATGTTTCTCTTCTTAATCTTTTTTTTTAAAGATTTTATCTATTTATTTGAAAGAGAAAGAGATAGAGAGAGCCCGAGTGGTAGCGAGGATGGGAAGTGGAGGGGGAGAAGCAGACTCCCTGGTGAGCAGGGAGCTCAACTCAGGACAGGATCCTGGGATCCTGACCTGAGCCGAAGGCAGACACCTAACCGACTGAGCCACCCAGGTGCCTCGAATTGTATGTCCCTGAAGGTCTTTCCCCGTTGCCTACATGCGCTGTTTAGTTGTAGCGAGCTTGCCTCTGAGTGCATCAAAGGTTAAAGTTAGGGAGGTTGCCTATGAAGCAACATGGCTTTCCCGTTACAGTGATGTCGCTCCCCTGAGCCAGTATGCATTAAGGACACACTCTTCTTTTTTTTTTTTTTTTTTAAGATTTTATTTATTTATGACGGAGAATGAGGGAGAGGGAGCACAAGCAAGGGGAACTGGAGAGGGAGAAACAGGCTCCCTACTGAGCAGGAAGCCCGATGCTGGGCTTGATCCCAGGACACCGGGACCATGACCTGAGCCAAAGGCAGACGCTCAACAACTGAGCCACCCAGGCACCGCAAGGACAACTCTTTGTGGCACAGCAGTGATTGTGGTCGGTGGGTGTTTCTCTTCCCTTTACCCCAATTTTTTAAACCCTCGAGTTTTCCGGAAGGCTTGTTTTGCTGCCCCGTGGTAATCTTTCATGATCTCTTCCTCTTGTTCCCTACTGGAAAAAAAGAAAAGGACACAGTAGAAAAGATTAGTATAAATACCTAGCTTGGGCTTTGGAGCGGGTAGTACTGGATTCAGATCTCGGCTCCATGCACTGTTCCTTCATGTGCGACATGAGCCGTTTCACTTAACTCTCTCTCCCAGGGCCTCCGGGTCCACATTAGCAAATAAAAATACCTGCTTTGAAGTGATTGATGTAAGGGTTAATGAGTATGTTATAAAGCCCCCAGCATGGAGCAGGAGCTTAGTAAGTAGCAGCTCTTATAATTGGGATCACTTGCAGAATTTCCCAACTAGCAATCATTATCTGTCCTCGGGGAGTCCTACGTATCTGTCCTCTGAACCCTCACTGTGATGGAGCTCCATGGCCCCGTCCCTGGTTGACCTCAGCACTACCCCTTTCTCAACATGGTAGGGGCAAAGGAAACTGCTGTTGATTGACTTGAATCTTCTTATTCTTTATACTTAAACTTCCATACACAAACTAGTCTTCTCAGTGCTTTGTATATCTTACGTTTTCTAATGTTTAAGAAAGGCCAAACTAAGAGCATCTGTACAGAATTCTAGGTCAGTGGTGGGAAGACGGAGTGCAGTCCTGGGAGATTTGGGGGAGGAAAGTGTGCGTGATGGGGAGCTCTACCTGCTGGAAGACTAGATCAGGCTTCCTTTGATGGAAGTCACTGCATAATCTCAGAAGTGACAGCCCGTCACTTTTGCTGTACTCTCTTTGAGAGAAGCAAGTCCCTGGGTCCAGCCCACACACAGGGATAGGGGCTCACATAGGGTGTAAATAAACACCAGGCAGCAGGGGCCATCCCGAGCCCCCTCACCAGCTGCCCACCACACTCCCATTTTGCAGTTCAAGAAACAAAAGCTCAGAGAGGTTTAGTAACTTCCTTAAGGTCACCTAGTAATCTGTGGGGGCAAGATTCAAACCCAGAGTAGCTTTCCCTTTTAATCACTAAGCGGGTAAACAGTGTCACTATGTGATCTTCCTGCTCTCGTTCAGGCCTCACCGGTGCCCCGCAGAGTTGCCTAATGTCACCCCAGCGGCCCCAGGAGAGCACATTTGGGCCGGCCTGGGGCAGGGCGGGGAGGGTCTCTAGGCAGCCCACCTCTGCTTTCTCTGTTGTGGGACCAGCTTCATCAGCCCTCTTCTTGGCCTGTGTGAAAAGATCCCTCAACACCATTGGCCCCTTTCAGCACTGCTTCCAGGCTCCCAGGCCCATGGCTGGTGACTACATCTCACTTGCCCTAGACGGAAACCTGAAGTCAGTTGGCATTAGACAGGAGTCACGCTCATGCCCTGTGCTCCAGCTGTGCTGGCTCTTGTCCCTTTTACCCTGTAAACTCCTACCCCTGCTTCAGCTGCCAGCTCAAATCTCACTTCCTGTGGAGGCTGTGCCTGCTAGAAGACTAGATCAAACCCTCTGTCCCATGCTCTCGTGCATGCCCCAGGTTTCCTTGTCTCGTGTATTGCAGTCATTAACTGCGAGCCTTGGCATGGTGGGAGGCCAGCTCCGTGAAGGCGGGCCGTGTGCTTTCTGTGATAGGCCCAGTACCTGGCGAAGGGGAGGCAATTAATGAGCGCTACTGCTATTTACTGAATGAATATTTAGTAAGGCCTCCTGCGGGCGATGTCAGGGTCAGCTGGCCTGTTTTCCCCAGGATACCTCTGTCCTACAGTAACCTTAACTCGGTGCCTTTCAAATCCCTACTCTAAAGGCTAACTAGGGACAGAACTAAGGACTCCCTGACTGCCCATGTAAATACTTTCATTTCTTTTTTAAGATTTTATTTATTTATTTATTTGAGAGCGACAGAGAGAGAGAACACAAGCAGGGTGAAGGGCAGAGGAAGAAGCAGATTCCCACTGAGCAGGGAGCCAGATGCAGGGCTTGATTCCAGGACCCCAGGATCGTGACCTGAGCCGAAGGCAGACGCTGAACCAGCTGAGCCACCGAGTGCCCCCGTGTGTTTACTTTTAAAAGGGACTCCTGGAGACCACAGTTTTGAGTGTTGTGAGCCTGGGTACTGACTTTAGGGTGAGACTTCAGGCTATAAAGGATGGATAGACCACTAGCAGGAGGAGGTATGAGATAATATTTTAGGGTAGGAGAGGCCTTGTTTCAGAATCTTTCAACTGCAGGGCCTACTCTGGTGACATAGGAAAGGGTTTTAATAAGGGAGGAGTATTATTTTATTATTTGAAAATAATGTTGGGGTGTCTGGCTGGCGCAGTCAGCAGAACGTGTGAATCTCCATCTCGAGGTCGTGAGTTCAAACCCCATGTTGGGCATGGAGCCTACTTTTAAAAAATACAATTAAAAAAACTGAATAAAAATAACTTTTACAAAGAGTTTGTAAGAGCATTAAAGAAATGCCTGTGCCAATATAATGTAAATGTATATACATGTACACACTCATCATTTGATCTCATCTATGTAAAAGTATGCATTCCTAATAATAGCTTACCCTTACTGAGTTACTTATTACCTGTCACAACAACCCTGTAAAGTAGATACTGTTATCTCCATTTTGCAGATGAAGATGCTAACGCACAGAGGGGTTAGGTAATTTTCTGAAGGTAACACAGCCAGTAAAGGACAGAGCTCAGATTCAAATCTTACCAGCTAGGCTCCAAAGCCCATACTTTTAGCCACTATATGAGGCAGAGAAAAATCCATCAAAGTGTTCATTGTCTTTGGATGGTAGTTTATTTTCTGTTTTGTTCTCCAGGTTTTTTTGTATGGATTTACTATAGGAGTTGAATGACAAATTCTTTATTAGGGAAGAGGTGGAGTGGTGACATTTGAAGGATAAATGTACGTCTTAGAACAAAAGAACTCACCCCATTTCCTCTTCCACTTTTCTAAATTTTCTAGAAGCGCTGATGACCACCCCGTTTCTACAGGCCACTGAAGCCCTGTCCCCAGAAGCCGAAGCAAGCACAGCCCTCATTGCAGGTAACAAAGGCCCTGAGCCAAATCCAGAAGACTTCTTGAACCCAAGGGCTATCTCTCTCCATAGACTAGGAACCCAGTATGGTGATCGAGGATTTTCCTTATGCAGGAAAGCACCACAAATTGGAGACCAGATCCGTTAATGGGCTCGTTTTGGCATGTAGGTTTTCTTCTACGCACACACACGAGGCTACAAAAGACTTAGAGGCTTCACGCCTGAGACACTGCCAGTAAATGTGGGGAGTGGCCACAAATAGATATGTGTACAGGCCCTACGCTCCAGTGTGCGGGTAGCAGTGGGGATATGTGTGGCTCGTCAAGTGGGTGAGGACAGAGATGGGAGGGATCAGAGAAATCCCTGCAGGAGGCCGTGGGTTTCAAAATGTCTTCCTGTTAGGATAAGCTATTTCCTCTTTCCCTCCTTCCTGTTTCTATCAGAATCATCAGGAACTGGTTGAGAGGGGGTTTTTTTTGTTAGAGATCCAAAGTCGTGTGTGCTTAGTTTAGCTTAAGCCCCAGGAGGCATCAGATATCCTACACTGTGGAAGTTGGGCTTGTGGGGGAATATGGATTTGGACGTGGACACTGGTTAACTTGAACAAGAGGATCCTTATACAAAGTGAGGGAATCATTGAATTCAGAGGACCCCATGAATGACTGAGACATCCTCAATCCTGAAACATCTCTGCATTTTCCCTCTCCTTTCCAAGTTGTCATCACCGTGGTCTTCCTCACCCTGCTCTCGGTCGTGGTCTTGATCTTCTTTTACCTGTACAAGAACAAAGGCAGCTACGTCACCTACGAACCTGCAGAAGGCGAGCCCAGCGCCATCCTGCAAATGGAGAGTGATTCAGCCAAGGGCAGGGACAAGGAGGAGTATTTCATCTAATGATTCCCGGGCCCCCAAGGAGCTTATCCAGGCTCCAGAGCTAACACACTCTTTAATTTATTAGGTGAAAGTTTTATCTGAAACCAGTGAGAAGCATTGATTGTTATGGGCAAACCTGAGCTCCTTCTAGGACACAGGCCCAAATGCCAACATCACCGACACCAGGGACACAGAGAAAGCCGTTGATGATGTCTTTAGCCAGGCCTTTGTATTATAGCTAGTTTCGGTGGCTGCCCAGCAAGGTAGAGCGACACCAGGCCCCATGAGTATGTGCCTGGTCATCTTCACTTTTTTCAAGGTCAAAGGGCAAGAGCACTAGGGTCTCTGGCTGCTCCTCTGTCCTCTACCTGGTCTACTAGTGACAGCTTGAACAAAGATAGTGTCTGTAGAAGTTCTTCCCAGGTGCTAGATACCATGGTAACAGGCTGAGCAGGAAGGGACAGGAGACTGGGAGACCTCACCCCCGATGAACGTGCTCCATCTCTAAATCTGAGCCCAGCCTTTCTGTCTTCCCGAACAACCTTGTACTGATGCTATTTTTATCACAATTAAAAATGTTCATTGATACAGAAATCTGATTCCCATGTGCAAGAAATAACTACCTTTATATTTTGATTTACCCATCCTCAAACTTTGACAGTTTCTTTTTTTTTTTTTTTTTAAAGATTTTATTTATTTATTTGTCAGAGAGAGAGAGGGAGAGAGCAAGCACAGGCAGACAGAATGGCAGGCAGAGGCAGAGGGAGAAGCAGGTTCCCTGACGAGCAAGGAGCCCGATGTGGGACTCGATCCCAGGACGCTGGGAT